CCGCTGAGGACCCAGGCCTCAAGGGCAGGGCCTCCCTTCCTCCCACCTACTGATTGCTGTCGCCTAGTATGCGGACAGGACGGTAAATGCAACACCAATCAAGAGTCCTTTGTTCTCTCTGGCGGGGGCGCTGGGCAAGGAACAGAATACCTGCGCCCACCTCAGGAACAGAACACTCAGCAGACACAGGTGACAGAAGTACCTGGGGCCCAGCGGCCCCGAAGCCCCGAAGGATGGCAGAGAGGATCTGCCATCCGCGTCCTTCCCTCCTTGTTGTGCTTTGCTGTTTGTTTTCCTCTTGTTTCCTAGTAAAGGTTTCTTTTGAAAAGCTGCAACCGTGTCTCCCAGGAGCGAAGGGGAAGCGGGGCGATGCTGGCAGGGTGTGGCCTGGCCCTGGGATCCAGCCCACTGGGAGGGGCCGTGGCCGGCTGTACTTGGGGAGGAAGAGACCCAAACAGCTGTGGGTCAGGCTCCAGGGACCAGGAGGCCTCTCCCTCCCAAGCAGCTGCCTGTGCTGCCCTGGGCGATTGACACTTGGCATCTTCATAGACTCAGGAGGAGTGAAAAATGGAAGGAGCACAGGGTGGCCTTTCTCAGACTTGGACGCGCACACAAATCCCCCGCGATCTCATTAAAAGGCAGATTCCTATTCAGCAGGTCTGGGGTGGGGGTGTGGGCAAGATTCTGCATTCCTCAGCAGCTCCCGGGTGAGGCCAGTGTTGCCCAGTGTCCTGGGTCAAGTCCCTTCATTGCACAGAGTGGGGAGGACCACCGACTGAGCCCCTGCCCACACCCAGTACGGTGAGGGCCCTCTCCACCTTGGCCTCCGGCACCTTCTATGTGCCTCTTCCATCGCTCACATCCTCCCAGATGCCCTCACTCATTGTCCCCATTAGCCTGTGAGCTTCCAGAAGGCCTGGCTTGTATCCTATTCGCCTTTGGAAACCAACACAGGACCTGACGCTTCTAAACATTCATGAGTGAGCAAAGAGGTGACTCTCAGAAAAACTGTCCAAATCCTCAAATTAATCTCAGCTGGGGGAGCCTCAGACCCAAACCCCAGGGCCCCTGTGGCTATCTGCTTCCAACCTCCATTATTCCCCAAGGAAGGGGTCCCACGAGGCTTGCAGTGAAGAATGTTGCATTGGAAGGGGGGTCCCCAAGTGCGACAGGACAGCAGTGTCCACAGCGGGAGGGCTGCTCAGGCCCAGAAGAGCCCCACAGGAAAGCCTTGGTCCTGGCACCAGCATCTGGCACAATTCTGGACAGGACCCTTAGATTTCCTGCTCCAGGGTCTTTCACACCTCTGCCCTTTAGCTCCTCGTGGATGGTCACTGGGCCACTAAGGACAGAAAGTTGGCAGTTGGTATCTTCTAGGTCCCTGGGGTTCCATGCAGCAGAAAGAACATGAGCTGTAGAGCTAAGGGATGGCACTAAACAGTCTGCCAGTGGGACCCTGGGCAAGAGGCTTCACCGCTCTGAGACTCAGTTTCCTTCTCTGTGAAATGGGGACCGTGACTCTTAGAAACTCGTGTGAGAGGAGAGGGGCAGGGCAGGGACCTTTCTGGACGGCACCCCACGATCTGGAACCCCACCTATTTCGTTCCACCTGTGCCTGTTCTGCCCACCCTGCCCACCCATGCCAGCATCCTTGCCCAGCAGAAGCGCCCCCTCCTCCCACCCCCCTGCCCCTTGTCGAGCAGAACTCCACTCGATTGGGTGTCCAAGACAGAGACAGTCTCGGCCCCTCCAGCCCTGTCTCCCCACATCAATACAGTCTGGAGAGCTTGCCAAGAGCAGATTCTTTATTAATTTCTCTTTTTTTCTTAAAAAAAAAAAGTCTTCCTTCAGTATAAAAAATAAATATTTTAAATAGGACATTGAATAAATAAAAATAATCTGTCAGTATGAAACATTCCCACAGGGTACATTCATCAAAGAGGAATTTGTCCCTCAAGGCCAAGTCCTATCCAGTAGAGAGGGAGGAGGGAAACACCGACGGACAGACGAACTAGCAGTGTGGATGGGAGAGACGCCCAGGTACTGGGATCGAGGCGCAAGGATTGGGGGTGATCCGAAAGTAAGGACATCTGTACCATCTGAAGGGAAATTCTCACTTGATTCTGGCCTCCAACCCCACGTGCTCTGTCTATTCTGGAGAGCCAGCAAGGTGGGGCTGAGCTGCTTCTGGAGGGGGCGGGCAGGGGGCATCCCCAAGGAGGGGACAAGGAGAGGGGGGAGGAGAGACAAATAAACTGGCGGTGCTTTTTTTGTTTAAAATGTTTTTTAAATAAATAAGAGTTCCCAATACTCCTTTCTCCATAAATTGCAAAATGACTGTCCTACCCCGTCCTCTGTTGACAGCCTCTGTCTTCCTCCTCCTGAGCCAGGATGCAGGTGTGGGTCAATACCAGCAGATGAAAAATGAGGAAAAGGGCAGCTTCCTGCCCTGCAAAGCTTTTTCCACACAAAGGCTCCATAAATTCCGGGATGCTGTGAGAGTGGTCTGCCGGATTGGTTCTAGGAAGAGTGCTAAGGATGGGGGCTGAGGAGCAGAGCAGGAGATGGGGGGGGGGGCGGGCAGAGGCAGTGGGAGCGAGGGGGGGCGGTGTTGGGCCCAGGGGAAGAGACTCCCTTCGTCCCTGAGCCCCGGAGTTTGCCCAGGTGGGCTCAGCACGGGATTCAGTGTACTGGAGGGGATGGGAAGATTGAAGAGCCAGCTGACCCCAAGCCCTCGGAGCCACGTTCACCAAAGGAGCAGAGTGCAGGGAGGGGGCAGCAGGCTAAGACCCTGGATGAGGGTGAGTGTGACCCAGATTAAGACAGCCTCAGGAAACCTCATGGTCTCCTCCGCCACCTGCCACAAAACAACCTTGCCCCCCGCCCCCCGCGCCCCCACCCCTGCCTGCTGCCTGCCCACCTGCCACCCGGTGTGTGCGGGTGAAGTGCTCAGGGAAGACAGAGAGGTGCAAAGTGAGTGCAAAGTACCATAATCACATTGGCTGAACCGCTAGGACTGCCACCACCGCTCAGGGTTTGAGAAGAAGCCAGAATGTTGCTCTTAGCAGCTGCCCCAGCTCCGCACCCCCTCCCTTGCTCCCAGACTGGAGGGCGTTTCTCCACTAGCCTGGCCCCAGCACAAAGGAAAGGATCGGGTTCCCTGCCTGGGAGCCCAGACATGGGTGGGGGCGTGGGGGGAGGGGGGGCAGGAGGGACCACAGCTTCCTGGTCATGGGCCCAGGGCCTCCCTAGCCTCCTCTCCAGAGCAGGGAGCTCCTCCCTGCACTGCCCCAGCTTCCCAGAGGTCCAGCCAGGCCCTCTGGCCCTTTGGGGGTGTTTGGGCCACCCGAGCAGGAGCTTCCCTACTGTGTGCAAGCATGCTGGATGCTGGGTCAGGACTGTTCCAGAGCCCCTCAACTGCTGGTCTAGAGACAGCATGGGAACAAGGAAACAGCAGCAGAGTGGGCCACCGGGGCTGCCTTACCCAGTGCTCCCAGACACCCTTTCAGCTGTGAATGTTACCCCTCACGGCACAATTCCAAGGGCTGCCAGAAAACACAGTGTTGAGTGAGCCCCCTGGAGCCAAGCAAGATGGTGGCCCTGGGAGAAGGCCCCTGGCCACTCCACAAGCCGGCCCAGCCTGCCGTGAAGTCAGGATCCTGATAGCCCCAAATCAGGTCACAGTTGGGATGGGGTATGGAGCAGGGTAACCTGTCCCTGCCCCCACCACCCAGGGTGACCAGTTCTCTCAGATCCTGACCCTTCTCTGAGCTTCACCAGTAAGGCTTAGTCTCATTGTAACATCTTTGACTTCTGGACCAGTCCCTGCTAAGGCTTGGCCCTGGCTCCTCTACGAGCCATCATATTATTTCTGTTGAGTAGGAAGCAGGGAAAGGGGAACTAACTTTGCCATTTAAAGCACCAATAAGTTAATATAAATAGGGCATCATAATAAATAGACAATCATGCTGGGTCAGACACACAGCACTCTTGGTTCTCAGGCTTCTCTGAGACCTGACCTCAGGTTCTGCTGTCCCCTTGCTCTAGGAACCAGAGATGGCCTCTAGTCCCCATCAAGTACCTTTGTGTGACCCCACAGGACCTCCAGGGGCCCCAGATGTGAGCTGCCACTCTGAACTACCCAGTCCTTCCCATCCCTTTCCATCCCTTATAGACCCCGGCCCAGAAGGAAGACTCTGGGTCCCCTCGGAACCTCTTCACCTGACTTTGCCACCTGCCCATTTCCCCAAACCCCACCTCCAGGTCCAGCCACCAGACCCCTGGCCATCCCAGGCTTCAGTAAAGACTGCAGGGAAGAAGGCGAGCCTGCCAAGGCTTTCAGGACCTCTCTACCTTCCCATGCCTGAAGGTGGCCTCTCAGCCTCCCTAGAAGCCTGAATGCCAGTGAGCTCATTCTGGAACTTTCTGCCTCACAGTCCAGGCCCTAGGCTGGACTCCAATCACGCTCAAGAGAAGGAACATACCAAACCAGAACGTCCCCCTCTAACTTCCATTCACTAGACTTGTAGGGACCAAGGAGTCCTCTGGAACCCAGCTCCTCTGGCCTGCCTGAGCCCTGTCAAACCTTCCAAAACCTACGGAAGGGGCAGTAAAGGCACTGATGGTGGTCATTTTGTGGGGCTGGGTGATTCCCCTGACCCCTGCCGTCTCGTCCCATGGTCAGAGTCGCTATGGATGACTTGTGCAGTTTTCTCACAAAGGCCCTGGCCAAGGGGCCAAGTGGGGACAGAGGTCCAGCCCACAATCCCCTCAGCAGCCCAACACCCTGGTGCCCGGCCACGGTCTCCCAGAGGAAGGGGTCCTTCTAATTGGCGCTGTAGACAGGCCCTGCCTACAGAAGTTTAGATTCTGCTCGGCTTTCTCACAGCCCACCCTAGAGGGGGAGTGGACTGGCCAGGAACCCCCCGGGGTCTGCCAGCAGCCCCCACTTGGGTCCGGCGATGCTCTGGGCCCCGGCCACAGTTTGAGAGCCGCCCGAGCCTAGGATCTCAGGTCGCTCACTGCAGGCATCACGACCTCCTGCCTAGAAGGCCTGAGCCACCACAGCGATGACCTGCTTATACTTCCCCAGGAGCTGACAGCCCAACTTCTTCTTCTGGAAGACGTCCTTGCCCGAGGTGTCGGGGCCGTAGGCCACGTCCACGTGGGCCACGTGGTACTTGTTACACAGGCGGCAGAGCACGTTGCTAAGGAGGCCCCGCATGATGTCCGCAGTGGCATTCAGCTTGCTATGGAGGCTGAGGGCGTTGGGATTGAGGACCTTCTGGTCCCGGGTGATGTTGCCCAGGGAGGCGCCGAGGTACGCGATGATGCGGTACAGCTCCACTAGCCGCGTCTTCTCCGTGCCGTTGGCGTGGAATGGCGGGAAGTCCGTCACATTGGGGCCACACAGCTTGTCCAGGTTGTTGGGGAACGGCTCCCCCTGGGCTGTGTACTGAGGAGCAGAGAGGGAGAGGGGAGGTGATGAGGGTGTCAGGGTCGAGTGTCCCAGCCCTGCCACCAAGCCTCTGGGCAAGCTCTCGGGTCTCAGTTTCCCACCTCGGGCATAGAGACCTGGCTACTTGCCCACTAGGCATCTCAGGATTGTCGTGTGAGCCAGAAGTAATCCCGGTGCAAGGGATTATCATCACCCTCATCGGGATCGTGTGGGGACCGAAAGGAAAACACCACGTCTCACCTCCTGCAGGTGCACCACACACACTTGCCCTTTCACCCACTGAACGCACCTTCTTCCTGAGTGGCTTTGCACCCCAGACACCCACAGCCCACCACTTTCTCTCCCAACAGCATCTCCCTGGCCACCCTACTTCCTCTCTGTCTCTCATTGGCCTCCTGCTCCACATGGTGGAGGAATCCCTAGACCAACAGTGCCCAGCAGAGCCGGCCTCCCACTTCTCCCCCCAGTTATGCCCCCGACCTAACTGGGCACCTTGGAAAAGGGGCTTCCAGTGTGAGCCTGGGCTGGGGGAGGGGCAGCGGCTCGGAAGCAGCGGGAGTCTGGGCGCCGTTGAACCAAGCCCCTTCCCCATTCCCTCCTGCCAGCTCCAAACGCTCTCTTCCCAGGCCAGTCCCGCCAGACCAGGTCTGTGTAGCAAACCCCACCCTCCCTCCTTCCTCAGGACCTGGAAGGGGGACTTACATAGAGAATAAAGAGAGCATTGGCACTGCCATTGAGCTGCGCCAGTTGGTTCCTGATCTGGTTCATGAGGTTGCTGTGACATGGGTGGCGTGTGGCACAGGTGGCGTTGACAGGGGTGATAGGAAGGGGGCTCCCCGCCCCGTGTTTCCAGTGCAGAACCAGCAGCAGGGGCACAACTCCTGGGAACAGGCAGGAAGGAGCCATGAGCAGGGGGGTTGGGGGTGAGCAAGGAGGCTCGGGGCAGAAGATGTGCCTCATCTCCCCAGGGACGCCAATGCCCCAGCTCCACCTGCAGCTCTGTCTTCCCCTGGCTGCTTCTAGTTTTCATCGCCTCACTACATCTGTTTCTCTCTGCTTCCCTCTCTCCAGATCTCTGTCTCTGCTTCTCTCCACTTTTCTTGTTTTTTCCTTCTCTCTCCTGAGCGGAGGAAGGGGGTAGGACATGAGCTGTTCCCATCAGCTGGGAGCTGGGTCCAGGGTGACACGAACCATCCAGCCCTTTCCCTCAGGAAGGCAAAAGCCCCTGAGGTCTCCTGCCCCTCCAGCTGGAAGTCACCATGGCCCCAGGCCCAGCGGGTCTCAGGGGCAAGAGAGGCCCCTATCTTCCCACCTCGCAGGATGGTCCAGATTCCTGTGCATTGCTTCATGCTCACTGGCCCACTGCAGGCCGTAGCTCCCAGATCGGGAACCCGGGGTGAGGGGTGGGGGATCTTCTGCTGACACTCTTCTCCCTCTCAAACCTGTCACTTGATTCTGGCCCCCTGGGCCGTTTGTCTCCAAAAATTCTGCCACCCTCCCCCATTTCTTCTATAGCTCTTCTTCTCCAAATGTGGCCACTCTCCTATTTAGGACCCTCAAGTCCACCCCACTTCTACAATTCTGCCCCCTCTCCAACCCCAAATCATCATTCAAAACTTCCTGTCCCCCCAGCCTTGCACAGCTCCTGCCTCCATGCCAGCCCCCTCTTGTCTATTACTTGCCCCAGGCGCTGGGTTAGGACAAGGAGAATCTTGGGGTCCCGCAGGCCCTCAGAGCCTTGGGGAGGGAGAGGAAATGGTGCAACCAGAAAAGAGAAAAGGGAAAAGGTCGCAGGCAGCCAGGTGGGTGGGGGAGGAAGGAAAGTGAAAGGTGACAGGAGAGCTGGGAGCTGTTCGGGCCTGTCCTGGGTCGCCCCTCCCCCCCCCCCCGCGCCTGCTTCCCCGCTTTACTGTCTCGGGGTCCCTCCGAGGAGCCTCTCCCAGTGGCCCAGCAGCAGGAGGTAGGGGCAGCAGACCAGTGAGGCTGGAGAACCGGTGAGGCTGAGGTGAAGGGGGGCGCTGGAGCGCTGGGACCTCCCCCGCTGGGACAGTGGCAGCCTCAAGTTCACTTCTCCTGGGTCCGCTGTTCCTCCCAGCATCCCCAGGCAGCGCTGAGACCCCGGGATGGTTGGGGGGCCCCCACACGCCCGGCTCACCTAGCAGAGACCACAGCTTTCCAGGCACTAGCAGATGGAGGCGGCACCTGCTTCCGTCCCGGCCGGAGTTTGCAAGCTGCTCGGAGGCCGGTGCCCCTCCCTGGGAGCAGCCCGGGACGCGGTTGGAAAAGAGAAAGCGGAAAGACAGAAAGAAAGAAAGAAAGAGGGAGGGTGAATCGGGAGAAAGCAGAGCGGGAAGAGCAGACCGGAGAGTGGCAGGAGCGAGGAGGAGGAGTGGGGGTAAGAGGAGGAGGAGCAGGAGGAAGGCTGCGGCAGCCCCCTCCCTTGCCCGCCGCCAACCTGCTGGCCCCCGGACGGGCTGGGCGCGCGGTGCGGGGACCATGTGCCTGCGCTCGCTCCCGGCCGCCACCCAGCGCCTCCGGCGGCCCGGGCCGGCTACACGGGTGCCCCAAGTGTCCGTGTGTTTGCGGCGAGTGGCTGTCCCGCTCGCGATCGCCAAGTGCCCCAAGTTGCCGCAGCACCCGCAGTGGGGCGCGGAAGCCGGCGCGGGGCGGGTGGATTTACCTGCCGCCAAGACCTTCATTATGGGCTGGACTCCAGAGGGCCTTGGAGGAGACCTTAGATGCCGGCAGTTTTCAGAGGTTCATGCTCAACGGGGAATTTGCCTGATTTATATACTGGAGCCTGTGTTGTAAGACAGAGAGAAACAGCTATATTTAGCAGGGATCCCCGTCCAGGAAGTTGTTTGAGGTGCATCATAGGAAATTATGAATGGAAGAAAGTGAGAGTGGGGGGGGGCAGGGAAGGGGGAGGGTGGAGAGAGCAGACTTTTTCCCTCTTCTAAGAATTTGATTGATAAAATTATAATGAACTCTTCAACAAAACACCCTGTGGTTTTCCTGAGTGGCTTGCCCTAGGAGTTGTTTGAAGTTGGGGAGGGCAAGGAGGGTCCCCAGGCTCGAGTCATTGGGGTCCCCTGTGCTGTAGGTGCTCCAGACAGCCCTGACTCACCTGGGTTTGGGGAGGTGGCTTGACACTAGGCAAGCAGATGGAGGCCGGCACCTGTGGCCCCCTGATCAAGGGATTTTGGGGGCAGTGGGGAGGAGGCAGGCTGGGGCTTGGCTGGTAAGGAGGCTCCAGGAAGAGGGGCTGGGGCCCGGCTTGGACTTTAGACAGTAATAAAGCAGAACTGAATGTGGGCACCTCAGAGGTAGCCTCCTCCAACCTTCCCATTGCCACTGGGCAAAGTGGGGCTTCAAAGGGCACAGGTTGTCCAGAGTCCCACAGGGTCAGGCCTCTTGACCACCATCAGCAAGCCTCCATTGCTGACCACGGGTAGGCTGTGAGGCCGGGGAGGGGGCTGGGAAGGTAGGGAGCAGGGAGGTTGCTGTGACTCAGTTCTTGGGGGACAGCCTGGGGGAGGAGTTTCTGGGAAGGTGTTGTGTGTCTGGGGTTTACCTAAATTCTTTGCAGTCCCACCTCCCCCGTCAGGGAGCATTTCCATTCTGGAGGGACACCTGGAGCAGAGACCTAGGGAGGCTTAGCAGACCAGACCCAAGTTTCTTCCTTAGGATGCTGAGGGCTGGCTGGGGAGAAGAGAAATAGCTTGCCCCCCAAAACCTGCTTTGGAAGCCCCTTGGGGCTCAGCCCCAGAGAATAATGGTGACCCCCAAAAAGGTGCTTCTAGAGTCTGTAAGGCAGGGTCACAAATAAATCCTGGTGTCTGTCATGGCCGGTTAGACTCCTAAACGTGTGAGGAGAGGCAGGAAGGAATGGTGGGGACCAGGGCAAAATGAGCACAGGACTCCTCCCCCAAAAAAGCATTTCTAAAAAATGATGTGAGGGAGTGCTGGCCAGGGAACACGTATCTGGCACCACACTGTCCCCCAAGTTGCCAGGGGCACCCTCTGTCCCAGGAGATGTCTCATTCCCCTGGAGACCCCACCCCAGCCCTCCAGCCTGACCCTAACCAAGAAACAAGGTGGAAGAGTTGGTTTTCCAAGACCAAGGAGACCCATGGCCTTTCTCTGGCCCCCACTGCTCACCCCCTCACCCATCCTCCATGCATGCTCCCAGCTCCCGCCTCTTGCCACATCCCGGACCTGCCCAGCCACGCGTTCCTCCCTCATCGTGCCAGGACGAGCCCTGGTGCCTGCTGCAGTCCCCCTTCCCCCACACACACTCTGCCCTCTCCAGGCTCACTTCCCCCATGCTCACCCAGGAGGACCTGGGATGTGGGGTGATAAAAATGCCCATCCCAGCTGGCACTTCCCGGCAGGAAGGAGGCTGGTAGAGTCCAGCCTGGCTCTCCTTCCTCCTCCCTTCCTCCCCCCTCCCCCTTGTCTCTTCCTTGGAAGGCCCTAGAAGACCCCACCTGGCCCTTGCCCTTCCCATACACCTACTATGGGGTCAGCATACACCCCCAGGAGGCCCGCCTAGCCCAGCCTGGCTCAGACAACCCCACGGCACAAAACGTCCCAGCTCACCTCCCTCCCCTCACAAAAAATCCCCCACTCCTCTTCTCTCCTGCATGAGGGCCTGATATGAACACGGAGCACACGAACACAAACGCTGGAGCAGCCTCCAGTCCTACTGCCACATCTCCCAGACCCCTGTCACCTGACTCGGCCTGGTGCTTCTGCTGTGGACCCCAAACCCATCTGACCAGGGCCCCACTGTGGCCCCCTCTATGGGTCCCCTTGTTCCCCCACCTGAGACTCTCACTAGGCGCCCTGATTCTCCTGGAGGCTGCCACCCCGTCCCACCATTCTCCTGCCCCCATCTCTCCCCTACATCCTTCTGAGTGGGCTTCCAAGTCTTTGTACTGCCTTCTGGCTCCCCAGATCCCACGCCAGCCTTACAGTCCACCCTCAGTCGCCATGTAATCTCAGCTCCACCCCACAGGAAACAGGAAGTGGGGGCAGAGTCTAGAAGACACTTAACTCCCTCCCCGGCTGGCCCCTCCCATGCCTCAGTTTCCCCTCTCACGGTACCTGACTTGGTCTGTGCTCCCCAAGAGCTGTGGGCCCCTCGGCACCCTAGGCCCGGCCTCCCTTTCCTGTCCATGTCCAGGCACCACCTGCACTGGGCCTCTGGGGGTAAGCTCTGGCAGGGTCTTGGAGCCGCCAGGCCGTGAGCTGCCTGCAACGTGGCCTTGGTCCCCAGGAATCAGCCGCCCAGACCGCGCTCCAGGCCAGCTTTGGTCTCCCGGAGTTTGTTTTCTTCCCTCCCTCTCTACGCTCTGTGTGTGTGTGTGTGTGTGTGTGTGTTTTCCCCTCGCTTCCTCACGGAAGGCATCCTCCCTTCTTGGCTGCATGCTGCCGGGGTCGTGACCCCAGGCCCCACCCTGGAGTGGCAGCCCCAGCTCGGCCCCTTCCAGCTGTGACTTCATCCCCAGCCTGTCCTGCTCCTGCACACTGGGCCTGCTGGGGATTTGACCTGCCTCAGGGTGAGGGGGACCATCAGGGTCCACAAGGGGCCCTTTTCTGCCGAGGCAAGGCACTGCCGGGTCAGGGCCCCAGGGTGCTGTCTCCAGGTGGCTGTGCCAACCACTTGCTCATCTCCCTTCTCCAGGAAGTCAGCCCATGTGTCGGCCTTCCCAGGGCCCCTCAGGGCTCTTTCGGTCCTACGCATTCTGCCGAATGCGGCCACCCAGTCCTCCTTTTGTGCTGATTCTCGCCTGCCATTCATTCGCCTCTCCTAGAAGATCACAGGTGTTTTATTTTTCAGATGGGGAAACTGAGGCTTGGGGAAGTGAAGCCACTTGCCCAGGGCCGTTCAGAGACACTAGAGCAGGGTCTGGAACCCAGGCCTCCGGCTCGCAGGCCACGGAAATGCCAGAAGCGCCTCCAGCTCTGAGAGGAGCAAAGTTTGATGAGGAACACATAGGCCGCTTCTTCCAGGATGTCTCCCCTGCCCACAGCCCAGACCAGCTCGAGTCTGCCTGGTCCTGCCTGCTCTCCTTTCAAGTGGAGACAAGTCTTCTTCCTCACTCTCTGAGGGCTTGGATGGGGTCTGATACTCATTTGTACTCTTGACAGCACCTGGCTCAGGGTTACACCAGAGTCAATGCTAAGTATTTTTTAAAAGCACTTCACAATTTCCAAAAGCTGTCTGGGCCAACTGTCTCGTGGAGAGACGGTGTGGAGTTTCGTGGATTGAAGCGTGGACTTTGGCCTCCGTCAGAGCCAGGTTGGAGATTTGGTTTTGCCAGTTAAGAGCTGGGTGACTTTGGGGAAGTGAGCACCCCCTGGCCTCAGTTTCTCCATCTATAAAATGGGAATAATGGAACCTATGCTGTGGGTTTGCTGTGAGGTGTCGGGGCTCGGCGCAGTTCTGGGCACCCCACAAGCCCTCCATACGTCAGCACTTATTCTTACCAGGTGAAGATCCTCACCTCACCTGTGAAGTAGGGGTTTTTGTCCCCATTTCAGAAGTGAGGAAATTGGGCACACTCCAGAGCTGAAGAGGGAAAGCTGAGAGGAACTGTATACCCTCTCCTGATGGATAATGAGGCAGGACACCGTTATAGGCTCCAGCTTCTTACAGCGGCACCCCAGACAGATAAAACAGGTTATATGGGGGGGATGGCATGGCAGTACTCACTCTCCCCATGTCCCATCCTGGCCCCTGACTGCCCCCCTTACCCCTCACCCCAGGCCTGAGCTAAGGACAGCGGCTGACCCGGGCTCACCACCCCCAGGAACTGATTCACCCCCAGGCTCCATCTGAGAAGGAAGGAGACATAGCTCAGCTCAGAGGGGCTTGAATCACCAGCCGCCCCCTGCAGAGCCCCAGGGGGGGATGCGGGGGTGGGGGCCAGCCCCCTGCCGGTTTGTCTGTCTCTTTCCTGGGTCTCAGAGGCACTCAGGAGAGGGCAGCGGGGCAGTGGCCATCGGCTGGGGGCTGGCAGGGAGGTACCCTCACAAGTCAGGCATCCTGTGTGGGAAGCCAGAGTAAGTTACTCACCAGGTAAGCAGCTCTCTGGGCATCGGGGAATTCCCCAAGCCCAGTGACCCAGAAACTGAGTGCTCTGGGCAACCCCCACTGCCCAGGCCAGCCCCCTCCTTCCTCCACCATCCCCTCCCCTGTGCCCGGCTAAGATCTCGGTTCTCTGAAAACCCAACCGGCAGCGGCTCGTAGCCTCCAGCTCACGCCCAGCCCCTTGCCTCGATGTCCCCACCTGGGAAATGAGCGCAGGGGAGTCAGATGGGCCCCGGGGAGGAAGTTGGGGGTCAGAGGCTGTGGTCCAAGACTAGGGCCGGTGAGGGGCGGCCAGGAGCGCTGGCAGTTGGGTGTCCTGTCCAAAAAGGCAAAAGCACCTCATTATTCAGCACTTGAGCGATGAAGGTGTAGCTACACCTGTGGCCCCAGCCTGCACCCCGCAGCACCACGAAACCATCGTGGACTTTCCTGGCCCCTGGCACCGTTTCACAAGTCAACTGTGGGCCAGCCAGGGCTAGGCTGGTGGTAGAGCCTGTGGGTAAGGGTGTGGCTCAGAACCAGGAGAACCTGGGTTCGAATCCTGCCCATGCCACTTACCAGCTCTGTGGCCCGGGGCAACTGGCCTCCTCTCTCTGAGCCTTGATTTCCCCTCTGGAAGTGGGGAATGCTGGAGTGCTGTCATGAGGATGTTCAGTGGGAAAAGCAAAGTGCCTACCACATAACAGTCATTCTAACCAGAGCTCCGAGTGGTCAGAGGAGGGGCTCAAATCCCAGCCTGAGTCAGGGGCCTG